CAGCTTGGGTGCAGCCACCAATACATTCTGCTAAGCATGAAAATCAATTTCACGTCTCAGCTATTGTGGCACACACTATTGCTTCGGGATGGTCCGACACAATGTTTAATAAGTAGCTTTTTGTGCAAAGCAGACCTGCATTAGTGCAGGGCTGCATGAAGAAGAGCTGGCAGGGAGATTTATACATAAAATCCTTAGGTTGCCCTGCAATCACAGGGTCTGGGAGTTGTAACAGAACTCCCAGAGCAGTTGTCTCTTTGTGTTTCAGTACAGTGCTAAGTGAAGGGGAGGCTCCTATAAAAGATTAGAGGCTGTTTGCATAAAAAGAGAACGTCGACTGTCGTACTGCGCGATAGACGTAACCTCGGAGGGAAACGGCTGTCCTTCGARGGCCTCGCTGAACTTGAGATGAGCAGCAGCGAGCCGCCTAAGAGAAGCTGCTGGGAGTCCAGCAACAAGCATCGCAGACGAGTAATTGGTATTCAGGATGAGGCATGTGGCACTTCAATGACAAAATACACCCCCAGAGCCTCAACTTTCATCTCTGCATACTCGAGATACAGGTAGTCCTGGCGTACAGGATATTGGAGGGAAGTGGGTGATGTCTGCGAAGAAAATGGAAGGGAAGTTAGGTTGAATGAAATGTAGCAGAGGGGTGTCTGGAGATGGCCTTTAAATGCACAGGCAGTAGAGCATATGTGGGAGAGGCTGTAATGAAAGCAGTCCCGCAATGGCCAGAGGGAGAATAAAAAACAGGCTGCAGTTCGAAGGGCAGCRGGTAGAGGTCTGGAATAGCTGCGTAACTCAAAATCAATACAGATTAAGTGGTTATTTAGAATGGAGAGGTCAATTTCTTTGACTTTGGACCTTAATCACTTGTCTTTTCTAGGACGTTTTAATGACACAGTTGGAGATTGTTAAAGAAAAACAATCCTGAACTGCTAAATTTAACAATAACCTGTTGAAAATATAGAGGCGCTGCAACCCCGTCTCCTTTTCTTTTGATTCTTATCAGCAGCTCAGAAAACATGAATTAYTTTTTTTTTCTGGCAAATAAGCAATTTCTTTCTCGACTTCAAATGCAAATCTGCAGAATACCTCTGTAAGGTATTCAAGAACAACAGAATCCATGGTTTTCTTTAAGAGCACATTGATAAATCTATAGCAGATAAAATATATTTTCGTGCAGCTTAACTTTTGTTAAATGTAAAACTGCATTTGAAGCAGCCTTGTTATTGTTCATGCACAAAAAGCTTTACAATGCTTTCCATTGCAAAAGAAAAAAAAAACACCTAAACTCCTTGAAAGTGTTTGGCACTAAGACTAAAGTTGGTTTCTGTTATCTAAAGGCCATGCCACACTATAAGGATTTAGACAACTTATGCTGACTTATGAAAATGTTATAAATAGATTACTCATATACTGAAGGTTGTATATTCATTGAATTTGTTAGCATTACAGAGGCTTCCAGTAGATTTTTTTTAAATTACATCTTCAGTGTAAACATGCTATGTGAAAATACCAAAGAAGTTATAGTTTAAAAATGTGTTATTGCTGTAGCAATTTTTTAATGAATTTGCTTTAAGATGAAATTAATCTTGGGTTTTGGTTCCACTTGTAGCTGTTAGGTCATGAGTCAGTCAGAAATACACAATGTCACTGAACTGCTTCAAAAAACTTTCAAAAACTTATCTGCAGCAGATATTATATTAAATATTATTAATATTAAATGATAAATATTGATATTAGCCACCTTTCCACAGTTCTACACATTAAATTATCTGAATTGTCACTTTAAAGTATGTCTAATCTCAATAGCTTGTGTCAATCTTGGGGCCAGAACAAGTTTGTATTGTTTCAAGGGTATTATT